TTGCAATGTTTCGTGGGTGTTCCGTCGCAAACAAACCCCAACGAAGGACCGATCGGAGTTGCTCTGGCACACCGCTTAACGAGGCACACCCCAGCATACTTGCAGCATCATGCATCGTTCTAAGAGGATACTAACCGCATGGCATAACTGTAGCTACAAAGACTTCTGACCCCAAACAGAGTCTCAATGTAATTTTGTCTAAAATCTAAAAACATGAACCCGATACCACCGTAGAAGAACCTGTCAAGCAGTTAAACCTATCAACGCCGGTCAACTCCATTAGACCCTGCACAAAATCAGCATACCGACAACATCTCCTGCAAACCGATTTCTACCGGATCTGAGCACTGTGCCCGGGAAAGCTCTCCAATAGCAAGTCCAACAGTTGAGGCATCGCCACCTTCAAGGCATCCGAAGGGTTCACGTTTTATATTTCATGGTATGGGCTGTGGGTCTTTATGTTTTTGGGTTGCTTCCAGGAATTTGTTTTGATGTTAAGCTACAGGCCTCATTTAGAGTTCGCTTGGAGGTTCACGGGTAGTTCTGTGATTCTGTGTAGGTGTCTAGACACCTAACTCATGTTGAACTAGGCGCATGCTCATCGTAACCCGTGCAACCCCACGTGTGTCACCCATCAAGGTGCGCCGACTCGGGTTTTGCTTGAAGGTCTCGGTAACCCTAAACCAACAGGCTCTTTCTTGGTGTTTCCGACAGCAAGCACAGAGCCTGCTTTAGGGTTTCTGTGTTCCAAGGGGTTTCTGGGGGGCACTTGGAGGATCATGGGACTTAGTAAGTAAGGTTATAAGTACCCTAATTGGGGTTATAAGTATAGGTACCTCAGTTATAACCCTACTTACTAAGTTCCATGATCCTTTAAGCATCAGGGATTCAAGGCTTCGGCGCTTGCGAAGGGTTTGGGGCTTACAGCGAAAAGGTCGCTCTCGCTTTTTGCCGAGCAGCTCCTTTGTCCCAACACGTACTTCAGCAACGCGTCTTGAAGGACTTAACAACAAGGTATATGCGACCCCAGCCGGCCTTCCACCATTGAGAATTGAGGTGTGCTAGGTTCACCTGGCAAAGGCTCACAGATTTGCATTCAACGATTACGACCTCGAACCTCTGATCTCAGTCGGCACGTGCTTCTATGGCTTCTACTTGGAGGTTCATGGGTAGTTATAAGTAGGGTTATAAGTAAGGTAACTATAATAATAACCTATATTGGGGGACTTATAACTCCACTTATAACTACCCATGAACCTCCAAGTAAAGCTGCACGCTACGCAGTGCTCCGGGCATGCTGACTCGCCATGCGGAATCTGAAAAGAAATACACACACACTCCTGCAGAACCTACCAAAAGTGTGGCCGGGCACCCCTTGCAGGTCTGCGACCAGCATGATGCTTGATGCCTGAGCAGCTGCAAAATCTAAAGTTTGAGTGTCGGGGCCATCGGGCAGGCATAGCTAAGCCGAGTTCTCGTCCTCGCCCGGCGTCGCCCCCAACCCCAACCCTTTACTGTCCGACCAACACGTTCCACCGCACCCGGAAGAACGTCCCCAAGCATGCCTCTTTCTGCAGCTGCCTGAGCGACTCTTCGCAGAAGAGGAGGAGATCCTTAACGGAAGGCGACGGCTTTGCTGAGCAGGGGTGCAGGCTCCGCCTATACTTGCATTGTCAGTGTCATATCAAAGCTCGCAATTTTTTGCAAGCTTCCTTGCTGGTCTGTCACTCAGTTGGCATGGGCGGATCTCCAACAGGCCGGTGCCACTACGCGGCACTGATCCCTATACCCCAAAGACCCTCAAAATCGAAAAGCTCCAGAGCCCAAAACCCCTGAGCCCTAAGACCCCAACAACCCTAAGCTGTAATACCCAACAAAGAAAAGACTAAAATGACGAACACTGGCAACCTCAAAGGCCAAGCGAAAAAACAAAAACATCCGATTATAACCCCTGAAACCCTGAAACCCTAAAACCCTAAACCCCTAAAGCCTGAAGCCTTTGCTGCACCCAGAGACCCACAAAGCCTTTGAGTCGCAGACCCGCCGTGCGAAGCCGGAGTTGTTCAAACCTGCAACTTTGGGGTTTATAGGGTTGATATAGGGTTTTTAAGGCTTATTTAGGATTTATAAGGGCTGATTATAGAATGTATAGGGTTTCCAGGGTTTTATACGGTTTATAGGGTTTGTAGGGTTTTGGGTTTTCAGGGTTTAGGGTTTTCCAGCCTTCTTTCTACTGTAGGAGTAGGAGTAGGAGTAGGAGTAGGAGTAGGAGTAGGAGTAGGAGCAGTAGTAGTAGTAGTAGTCGTCGTCGTCGTCGTAGTAGTATAGTAGGAGCAGGAGAAGGAGGAGGAGTAGGGGTGAGCATGAGCGATCAATCAAGAGGGCTAGCAGGACTTGCAGTAGGAGCACGGACATGTCTATGAGCATAAAGTGGATTGTGCTTCATGTGAGAGGATGAATTACTATATTAGGGTTATACAGGGGCCTCTAATGGGTGGAATAGAACTACTTGGAGGTTCATGGGTAGTTATAAGTCGGGTTATAAGTAGGGTAACTATAATTATAACCTATATTAGGGGACTTATAACTCCACTTATATCTACCCATGAACCTCCAAGTACCTCTGTCGATATTGCCATCATCATCCGCATCCTGAGGCATCCACTCTCGAGGTCGTAGCTGCCGACATGGAGAAATAGAACCTCAGGCACGCACAACGAAGATCCAAGAGAGCCCCTGGGGAGTTTGCAGGGATTCCCTAGGCAGTCCTTGCACGGAGCTAAGAACGAAACAACAAGTCTCGAAATCATACCTGGGCCTCCAAGCTAACCACTGCGGACGGCAGCCCAACAGTAGGGGCTTACGAGTCGAAAATAACATCCGCTTGGCCCCTCGCAACACATGCTCATACTCGTGTTTGCATCGCTTCTGCAAGGCTCCACTTCACTGATCCATGAAAGCCTCTTCTCGCCTTCCTCGTCTTTTGTTGTAGTCTGCTGAACTTGCGTTGGGCGCCATGCGATTGCCCCAAGTGGCCCCAGCCCCCAAGGCCCCCCGCGGTTTCACCAGAACTCTGCTGGCACTTCACGGATGGAAGCCATGCACTCAGCACCTGGCGAAACGTCCATGTCTGCAGAACCCTAAACCCTAAACCCTAAACCTCAAAGGCCCCAGGTTCTCCACCGAAGCTGCTCACTAGGAGGACATCCCGAGCCTTGGATCCTGCCTGGCCTAACCCAAAATGCCACGACGACTGCAAACGCCGCACCTCGGCAGAGACTGGCGCAGGCAAAGTCTCCCAGGTGCTCTGGCGTCCTGGCAGAACGAACCAACCCTAAATCCTAAACCCCTAAACCCTAAACCCTAAACCCTAAACCCTAAACCCCTAAACCCTAAACCCTGGTTCAGCATTTGGGGCTTCGGGGTCCCTGGAGGCTCCCGGAAGCCAGAAGTGTCTGGAAGATGCAAACCCCGCCCTCCGAGCAACGTCGTAGGCCTTGTTCGTTGTCCCTCTTCTTGCGCTGGCTGGCCTTGGGACCAACATGAATGCCACTGCTCCGGTTTGCTGGTCTATTTACGAGTCTACTAGTATACCCAATAGATCCAGTAGACAAAAATGATGTTGCTCTTATTCTTCAGCAACTGATAATATCAATTCATAAGGCCCCAAATCCTTAGAATCCCAAACACCCTAACCTCGTAGAAAAAAGCCCTCCTCTCCCCAAACCCAAGGCCTTTCTTCCCGTGGCCCCCACCTGGACCGGCCCGAAGAGTCCCGCAAAGCAGCAACTTGACGAAAGCCTGGGCAGCAGTTCTGCGGCTGTTTGATGATTTTGAACTCTTGGGGTCTCAGAGGGTGCTGTTTTATTTTGTATTCAGGGTCTCTCACTGAGGGCATGTCCTAGTAGGGTAGGTTTGCCGCTCTGGGTGCTTTTGCACTCTGGCAGCTTGCAGCGACTCGCACAAGGCAGGAAGGCTCACAACAACTGGTCTTAGACATGACACAGGCGACACAAAGTGAGAACTCCGAATCCATCACAGAACCGGAAAACATACTCTAGGTTTTAGGGTCCGACGCTGTAGAGCTTAAGTTTTGCGGTTTTGAAGCATTCGATGCGTGGGGCTATAGGCTATGGTTTTTCAGGTTGTCGACTCGCACATTCACTCAAGCAGGCACGGCAGGTTTTCGCCTCACACACTCGCGCAAGGCAGGCACGCCGGGTTTTGGGGTGTAGGACTTTAGGGTGTAGGAGAGCCTTCGGCTTTCCGACTTTACGGCTGCGGACAGCCAGAGTCTCTGAGGGCACGGCGTTGACATGGCCAGAACGCTTGCCAAAGCATTGCGGCACCGCAAAAGAGCTTTGTGTTTTTTCTTGTTTGGTTCGGGCTTGGTTTGCATGCATATGCACGGCAACACAAACCGTTGCTTCAAACTGCCAAGGACTTCGCATGAAACTTCATTGGCACAGGGTCGTGGTTCTGAAAGCTTGCACGCTGCACTCGCTGACCGCTCTGGCAGCAAATTCGGCTCAGGAGCCAGTGGCAGCTTGCACACCCACACGTACCATGTTTCAGCCTAACCAAGCAGAAGGGAAAACTGAACAAAAATAATGATTTGAACATCCCGCCTGCCCTGGCCCCTCCCTTCCTGTCCACTCTCACTCCGATGTGAAGGCCTTGCCAAGTGAACAACTGCATGAATCACTGAAGAGTAGGGGCGATTTTTGGCTGAAATACTGCCGAAACATCTGTGAGTATTAACACTGCAGCAGCCACCAGCCGGCTTTTGGGCGAAGGCTGACAGCATCGAGAAGCTACGGAGTTCGTTAACGGGCGCTGGTGCACCTTTAACTTTATAGGTACACCTGGTCAAGAAACACTAACCAATCGCTCTTTTAAAATGTGGGAGGGCAGCTTTGGCAGCATCCACCTCGACTTAAAGTGAAGCGGCAAATCAGATCCGTGCCATCTCTGTTTCACCTGGCATCTTCGGCGTTACCCTAGGCTTTGCCATAGGGGCTCACGGGGAAGTTCAATGATTGGTCGAACTCTTCGCCGAGGGTGTCGAAGGACTTGATCGGCAGTCGCAGAGCCTGGGCTGCGGCTCAGAATTGCAATTGGGGTTTAGGGTTAAGGGTTTTATTCCCGTAGAGCGGTCCCTACATACTTATAGTACAACATACCCCCGAGTGGCAGAACAGATTGTCGTGGAAAGCAAACTCTAATCGAAACGGGTGTCGTCAAAGCCCGCCGTGTGGGATGTGGGGCCAGCATTTAGGGCTCTTTGAAGAATCATGCCGAATCACCTTCTTTTCAACAAGAACCTGCTACGACCTACTAATTACTTTGCTTTGCCCTGGCCTCTCCCACAGAAATGACCTGCAAGCCATGTCATTACCTCGTCCCACCTCGTTCCAAGCAGTCTTCGATGTCTACTCCCTACGCATCATGCACTGCACATATGCTACCTGCACCTCCTGCATGCCCTTTCAGACAGCATCACACCTAAAGGAACTGAGTAAACCCGCATCTTGCAAGCAGAGATGTGCCGTGGGGCTGGCTGGCTATCCGAGTCGGGCGTGAAGAACCTGGGTGCAAAAATGTTCAGAGGTTTCGGGACGTTAAGATGTGTTCCAGCAGAAGGGCTTCCAGTTCGGACAGTCCTGGCGCCCTCCACGCCGGCGCCACCTGGGTTCTCACTGGGGAACCTATGAGTTCCCACGATGAGGTGCACGGTTGTAGTTGACTCTTCTTCCGTAGCTTATCGCAACTGACGTTGAAGGCTCTAGGATACCATACAGGGCACAGAGTGCATGGGGGTTCCGAAAATAGGGGACCCTAATCTAGTACCCTAAATGATGGGATCCTTATTATAAGGACCCTACCCCTTGTTTTTGGAAACTCCCGCATGACAGTCCTCAAGAACCCAGCCACTTTTGGCACCGGTGCAGGCGCCGGCTGGCCAGTTCTGCCGTTCCTGAGCTTGGCGAAGTTCGGGGCTCCAGCTTTTAGGGCTTATAGGGTTTAGGGTTCTTTTAAGGGCTCCTTGAAGGGAAATTGAAGGGGTTCCTTTAAGGGTTCCTTTTAGGGCTTATAGGGTTTAGGTTGGGGCTCACGTTCCTCAGGGTTTCGGGTGATCTTGAAGCTTTGATTGAGTTGCACTTTTCCAAATAGCTAAGATCTACAGCAGGGCCAACAGAGTACTCCCAAGCTAAGTATGGAGGTCTCCAAACAAGCATTGCAGGCACATGGGGATGTTGGCTTGGGGCTCTGCTTCACCTGATGCTGTTGGGCTCCCTGCTTTGGAGCTTCGCGCTTTAGAAATCAAGCCTGGCCTGGACTAGGTGCAGCCATGCTGCGGCTTAGCAGCGTCGCAAGCATTATTGTGCTCCTCTACATAATGTTGTTGGTGGGTGTATATGCGGAGCAGGCTTGAAAACCAAGCCTGTTACTTCAACGACGGGTCCCTAACCCGGAGCAATGTGCTTCTTCTTGCAGGCTCGATTCGCAGCCGGCGGAGGGGCGCCGAATTCAGCAGAATCACCATTGTGCCAACGACTAGGATCGTCAGCTTCACGACGAGCGCAAGCAGCGGCACGAAATACTCACCCAAGACCCACTTGAGAACCTTGTGACACTCATGGTGATCAGGCGAAGCTCTAATCATCCGAGGAACCCTTCTGTGAACCAGTCACTGGCAAAGCAGTGGTACCATACGAGAGAATAAGCGTCGTGCGAACAGCAAGACATGCGATCGCATAAAAGAGGTGAACCTGCCCGCCTGTTGGGAAAATGTTGTGCGGAGTGTAGGCCAGTGTATGCAGGAATACGAAGCCTCGTGCTTGTTGCGCGTTCGTGAATGATTGGCCCAGTGATTGGTTCATGGAGAGGAAGAGAGGAGAGAGAGAGAGAGAGAGAGACACAGAGAGAGAGAGAGAGCGACAGACAGACAGACAGACAGAC